TTCTTCTTCTTCTTCTTCTTCTTCTTCTTCTTCTTCTTCTTCTTCTTCTTCTTCTTCTTCTTCTTCTTCTTCTTCTTCTTCTTCTTCTTCTTCTTCTTCTTCTTCTTCTTCTCCTTCTCCTTCTCCTCCTCCTCCTCCTCCTTCTCCTCCTCCTCCTCCTCCTCCTCCTCCTTCACTCCCTTCTAGCACTGATGAGGTTACCTAGTTGGGTAATGAAATGTCTGCAAGGAAACAACCAGGCTCAGAGAGCACCAAGGACCCCACAGTTCAACCCTGAGCTCAAATATTCTCTTCTCTCGACATACAACTTTTATTCTGACTTTTTGTCATCACTGAAAGCTCACCTAAGGGACGATGATGGCAAGGAAGAACGGTTTTTAACGGATGCCAGGTTTAGAATATATTTATAACTTTGGGGGGAGGGGGGGCTTTGGGCCTGGAACTAAAATTCCATCAATGGAAACTCTTAACCTTTCTAAGTGCGAAGGTGCCTATTTGGATTGAGGAAAGACCAATACGGGGATGTCTAATTTAATTTACGCTCTGATCGCGGCTTCTACTTCCGCAGTGACCCAAGGTCCAGAGAAAAAAAATGACAAACTCCTGCCTGAAAGAGTCAGTTTGGCCGCATTCCGCGGAAATTCAGTCCTATCTTGTAACGTTTACATCTGCCCAAACGAGGCCCGTTGCAACTTTTCCCAGATGCTTATCGTGACGAAAAGGAGGTGAAATGCTAGGATTAAATCACACCTCGCATCCTCGCCTCGCATGAGAACGGGCCAAGATCGGTCTGGAATGTGCCTCCCTTTCCAAAGAGAAGCAAAGCTGGAAAAACCTGTAAAAGTTTCGTGTTCCTTCAGCATGTTACTTAATTCGCGTTGAAAGGCTTCCAGGATATCTTTCAGTCTTGGGCTGGGGACTCGTTTTCACGGACAGACGTTCCTGCATTGTAGGCACAGAGGAATAAAATAGTCAACAGAAACATCATAAGGATGAGTGCTATGGCTTTTATAGGTACAAACTGGGTGAAACTTGACGATGCCAGTATCTGTGAGAGGGATCTTGGGAATCCTGGTGGACAATCATTTAAATAGGAGCCAGCCGTGTGCTGCAGCTGCCAAAAAGGCCAACACAGTGCTGGGCTGCATTAACAGAGGGAGAGAATCAAGATCACGTGAAGTGTTAATACCACTTTACAAGGCCTTGGTAAGGCCACACTTGGAATACGGCATCCAGTTTTGGTCACCATGATGTAAAAAAGATGTTGAGATTCTAGAAAGAGTGCAGAGAAGAGCAACAAAGATGATTAGGGGATGGAGGCTAAAACATATAAGGAATGGTTGCTGGAGTTGGGTATGTCTAGTTTAATGAAGAGAAGGACGAGGGGGGACAGGATAGCAGTGTTCCAATATCTCAAGGGCTGCCCCAAAGAAGAAGGAGTCAAGCTATTCTCCAAGGCGCCCGAAGGCAGGACAAGAAGCAACGGATGGAAACTAACCAAAGAGAGAAGCAACCTGGAACTAAGGAGAAACTTCCTGACAGTGAGAACAATTAACCAGAGGAACAACCTGCCTCCAGAAGCGGTGAATGCTCCAACACTGGAAGTTTTTAAGAAGAGACTGGACAGCCATTTGTCTGAAATGGTGTAGGGTTTCCTGCCTGAGCAGGGTGTTGGACTAGATGACCTCCAAGGTCCCTTCCAACTTTATTATTATTATTTCCCAGAGTGGAGACCCCATAGAGAAGGGTCTGTCTTGTGAACTGAGTAGGCAAACTTTGGCAAGCAGGCACCTTTTTTTTCCCCCTTTCAGAATTGCTCTCCTGCTGATCTAAGCAACCTGGAATGTCCTCGGTTCGAATCCAATATCTCCAATCATGTGGCCTGCAGATGTCCCAAGGGCGGCCACATGTTTAGCCAATGATCCCTCTGCAAAAAAACGCTCACCCCAAAACATGTAAGTTTGCAGTTCTCAACTGAATAAATAAATTCACCCCTTTTCTTCCTCTCTCTCTCTCTCTCTCTCTCTCTCTCTCTCTCTCTCTCTCTCTCTCTCTCTCTCTCTCTCTGCTCCCAGTGGTGCAAAAACAATGTAAGTGGCGCAAAAACATGTAAGTTTGCAGTTCTCAACTGAATAAATAAATCCACCCCTTCTCTCTCTCTCTCTCCCTCTCCCTCTCTCTCTCTCTCTCTCTCTCTCTCTCTCTCTCTCTCTCTCTCTCTCTCTCTCTCTCT